GAAAACATCTGTGTTTTGTTGGACAACAGGTCAACCCTAATAAGGGCTTGGTGCTCATTTACTGTGTTCAGTTGGTAAACTATGATAGTGCTTTGGTTTATAAAACCCGGATGCTTCCATCTTCCTATTAGCAAAGCATGCTGGTGTCACTCGGCTGGAAAGGATTGGCTGTAGCAGGCTTGGCCCCACTGTTTTGAAGAGATGTGACCCAACTTTAGGTGAGGAAGTTCACATACTGATAGTAGTGTAGCTCTGGCAGACCCCATGGTGCCATAGCTAAGCACCGACTAATACACGCTATGATGGAACCAGCTGTTCGCAGCTAGCATTATATCCAATAGAGCTGGGAGCTTGGGTAAGGACTCTGCAGCATGGACCTGTCCTGCGTATGAAATGCTCTTGCTCGTACACCTCAAGCCCCTCAGGACCTGCAACGTTTCCTGCATAGGAGGTTGGTTTCCTGAAATGTCAACATTTTGAGAATGGGCTGTTTGGCACCTTCAAGGCTTGTCTAGTTCACTGCACTGGTCTCTAAGTGAATTTTGTAGGGCCAGTGCAAAGCTGCTGGACATACACAGTTGTCTTACAGGCATGTGAGGTTGTTGAATGGTGGGTCGTGTTACCTTTTATTGCTCTATGATTTCTAGAGAACTCACCTTGTGCTCCTTGTTGTTTGCATCTTTAGGGTTAAGTTATTTGTCTGGCATGTGTTGGAGCTGATTTTGAAAGCTCTAGACAGGGAGAGGAGGCAGGGCCAGCTGGAACAGAGCATGCAGGAGGAGCCCTACTAGACTGTCAGTGCCTTGGAAGGCAACAGCTCTCTGGTGCCAGATCTCTCAAATTTATTATACGTAATGTAGTTATGGCCTCTGCTGGAAAAATCTGCTGCCTTCATGTCATCTGGGTGGAATGAAACACAGAGCATGCATATGCCCTTTCTTGCATAATGCCCTTGCATCTCTGATAAGGTACATCATGTTCAAACAAGAAAATTGGGTTCTGGTCATAGCTGATGTCTGTTAATATCTTTATGCCTCTTAAAAGTAGTATTTCCAACAGCCCCTGCTGCTGTTGTAGAGGAGATGGTTCTTATTTACCTGATTTGCAGAAAAATAAAAAGCTGGTACAAGGTCACTCCAGGGAATAGAAGACTGTAATTCTATGATTCTATCAGATTCTATAGCTCCTATGCCACAGCATGACTGGAAGTGTGTGTGTGTGTGTGTGATGTGTCAATAGGACATGTGCATGAGCCATTCATGGAGGAGGCATCTTTCACAACCTGACGTGATGGGGAATGCTGACTTCTTAGTTGCCTAGTAAGCTTGTTAAGTTGTGGTGGGGAGCATTTGAGATATGGAGTTCTGCGGTGCTTCTTCAGAAGCTGTGAAGTCTGCTGAGGATATTATTTCGCTTGCTGCTGTTCAGGGTTTTAAGTAGAAGGTCTTCGTAATCACTGAGCGAACGAATCAGGTCTGTGAGAACAGTGATTTATGTCTTCAAGGTTAGAGATTAGAGGGTTGGTCCTCGTGGATGACCTACGCATGGATCTTGTTTTATTTGGCCAGACCCTCCGTCTGCTGGAAAATACAAACATGCCTGTATACATGATCTAAAAAAATTACTCTGGGGGCATTTCGTGTTGACCCTTGTATTTAGACAGCCTAGCATTTTCCATAGAAAAATTGTGACCTTTCGCTAAGGAGCTCTTAAAACTTCCATTGTTTGCAGTAGGCTGTTGACATTTGGTAGGGGAAGCACCATCAGAGAACAAAGTGCTTTTTTATGTTCCACTAAATTAGATTCAGCTTTGAAGGAGATATAAACTGTTAAAATGAACTAGTTCTTTTTTTTCCTGCCTTCATTCCATAGGAAAATTCTGGCACGCTACCAAAAAAATAAATAAATTGCCTCCAGTGCTAGACCTGCTGTAACCACTGCAGAAGCGAGGACAAGAGCCGTGGTGTTAGGAGCAGTCAGAGCAGGCGCAGCAACGGCTGCAGCAGAGTCTTGAAGAGCCAGCGCACGTCCTCCTGCCTCATGGCTGTGCTGCTTTCATCTGGGGAGAGCAGGACACCCTCCTCAGCAAACTTACATTCAGCATTTAGCCCCTGTTGTCTCTGTTCCTTCTCTCCCAAGCAGTTCCTTCCCTCTTGCCTCTTCAGATACCCACAGGTCCCAGATAGAAAAGAGATCTTGGGGCAGTTAGCACAGGTAACTGTAGTCCACTGCAGTAGACGTCAAGCATGTGCTCACTGCAGCCGCAGGATTTGGTGATCTTAATTCTGTCATCTAGGAAATGCCGTACCCCCATCATCTACAGGGCAGGGAGGCAGCCCTGCCGCCTCTCACAGAGCGAGGTCAGACACTCGCATGCAGCATTCCCGCCAGCTTTTTGTCAGCCACGAGAAATTAAACGCACAAGACAGGATTTCCTCTTGGTGTGGAAGCCCTGCCTGGCGAGCTCAGCCAAACGTTGCTGACAGGCGGCGCTGGCAGTAACACCAGAGGATCCAGGCCCAGCTGGGTGTAGAGAAAAGGGGAAGATGGCACAGCGTAATTGTGCACCAGAAGCTGCACAGTTTGTTCTCTTTCAAGATTATTCTAATGAGGTAGAAAATTGTGATTTTTTTTTTTTGATGGCTTTGAAGATTCTGAAAATAATTTTGGCATTTGCATTTAGCGAGAGCTCGGCTGTTCCAGCATGTGTGGCAAGGCCGGGCAGCAGAGCTCATCTCGCAGGGGCAGATCCTGCTCTCAGGCAGGTTTTGCTCCTTTCAGAGAACCCTTTTGCTTCTCAGAGCCCAAATACTCACCAGACCCTTTGAGCTGCTTCAGATCAGTAAATTGTGAAAAACTTTGTATTTGTGCTTTTTATTGGGCTGGGTTTTTTTTCACGGGATTGGTGAGCTCTATCAGTTTATCTACAGGTGAGAATGAAAACTGGGGCCAGCTCTAGGAAGCTGGTGAGACTAGGCAAGGGAGGACAAGGGAGCAGGGACAGCCCTTCAGCAGCCGTAAGCTGTTAAATTGGTTCCACCCCTATCGTGTAACGACACTGAAATAGTCTTACCAAGAAAGCAATCACGACTGATTTCTTTCATGGCAGTGCCCGAGCTATATGCAACAAAGACAACAAAAAGCAATCAACAGCTAATCTTTATAGACAAGCCCACACCAAGCGTGGGATGGAAATAGAAAATGTGTTTTAGCTGTGATTGGCACAGCAGTGGTCAAAAAGAGGATCTAGTATGGATCAAGCCTAAGCTGTTGAGATATTGAGGTTTCAAGGAAGGTGCATGTTTACATTAGCATTACTCAGACTTTGCCTATCGTGGGATATTGTGAATTCAGTTGTTCTTGGGATGAATAGAAGATCAAGTATTGTCCTTAAACAATAGAACAGTAAAACAACCATCTGTGAAACAGCATTTGTGAAAGAATACAACTATCTCCTTTTTAAGAATGGAGAATGAAAGCAGACAGAAATGATTGCTAAAATTGTTGGATGCATTTTGTTTGCTTGAAGACAGTTGTGGAATACTTATTGAAGGGACTAATAACTTTTTATTGCTTTACATATTCAGAGCTTTTCCTCAACCATCATGGCTCACTTTTGTGAGTGTTCCATGTTTGCAAATCTGGCCACAAATCTCCTAAGCAGGGCACCTACAAAATGAGCATTATACCTATTTAACTCTGAATGGAAATGTTAATTAAAAAAAAAGATAAAACCAAATATTATATTAAAAGCATTGTGGCAAAGTAGAGTGTGTCTAAGTACCCAGAGGCTGCTATTCATGATCTTTCCTAACTGTGAAACCGTTCTTCCTCTTCTTGTTGACCCTTCCTTCACTTGCTACCTCCTTTAAATCTTTTACAAGCAGCAAGATTAAAACTGTGTTGATGGAAGCTTTTGTAAATAATGGGGTAGGAAAAAAGCTCATATACAGCATTTGTCTGAGGGTCATACCCATCTCTAGAATGAAGACTGTGCCATATATATGCTTCTGAATGTTGAGATCTTAGACCTGGTCTGGAGAGCAGAGCTCCAGTCTGGAAATACAACGCTGGTGCTTGTAGAGGACAGAACATTGCAGGGCTCTGTTGAAGTAGTGATGCTTTTACTTCTAGGTTACTCGTTTGAATCTGGCCAGGTAAATACAAATATTTTCATATTTCTAAAGTGAACATATTAGTTTGTAGCTCTCGTTTTAAATTTTCTCTTTTTGGAACCAGTTGTGGAAACAGTGCAGAGTAGTGTGGCTGTGCTCTTCTTGGGTTCTCCAGGCTGAGGCAGAGGTCAGAATTCTGTCGTTATGTGATAAACCTGCCTAGGTTATTGACAAGCCTACTGTGTGTCACAGGCTGAAGATCAGTGATCTTTTTTTCTGAAAAACAAACTGCTGGGAGTTGTCCGTTTTCATGATTTCTGAATCCACCATCAGTTCTTTTGAAGGCTTGGAGATTTGGAAAGCAAAGGGAGAAAAGGAGATTTAGAATTTGGAATCCCTGAGGTTAGGAGTCTTATGTGACTGTGCACTCCAGGGAAACAACATCACTGTTAAGTTTCTCTGTGATAGCCGCTTCAGGAGGAAGATGAAATGCAGAATTACATTTGAGAAATGTTGTTAGCTGTCTGAGATGAAATCATGTAACGATGTCTTAGATGAAATAGTAGAATGAAGGAAGAAAGACTTGTTTAGATTAAAGGGGCAGGGGGGAAGAAAAGCTGCCTCACATCCCTAAAACTCTGGTAGAGATTGTTTTTCTTCCTTTAGACTTTTGTGAGAAAACTTAAGGTCTGTGACCAAGAGGATCTGCACATCCTGACCTTAGAGAACTGGGTCACGTCACTGGAATTTTATGCCTTTGCCTATATGCTAGAAATGGAAATATTTTCACCTCCTTGCACAAAGCCAGCCTCCAAAAGGTAGGAAAAATGAATTGCCAAAAATAAATCTTTCTCTTTTTTTTTTTTTCCCCTTGTCTCTCTGCAGCAATTCGGCAAAATCCTTGATGTAGAGATAATCTTTAATGAGCGTGGCTCGAAGGTAAGTCCTGTTTCTGTACCCGCTTCTCGTGTTTTGATTGCAGAGTAAAAGGCAGTTCATTGCCTAGAGAATATACTCTGCAGAGATCAGCAGGAAAAAAAAAGGAAAAGCTATTTTGGGGGCTGTCTCCTGTTCCCACTGACTCCAGACTTTGAGCAGGATCATTTCTGGGCAGCATGTACAAATGCTCCCAGACGCTCCTGTGTGTAATGTGGGATCGGGTTCCCCAGCCTTTTGAACGAGTAGGGAGTCAATCACTTGAGCCTTCGTACCAATCCGTTCCCATTGCAGCAGCGATGGGTGCCCTGCGGCGAAGGCAGAAAAAGGAAGACAGCTTGCTGTGGTGGGAGACTGTAAGAACCAAGCCTAACTCCCCCCACCCCCCTGACCACGTTTTTGTTAAATTAAAATACTTCTATAGAAAATCTGTCATATCTCATATGTGAAAGGATTTTATTCACCCTGTTTTACAGACTTACTTGGCACTTCTGAGATCCTGACCTTTCATGTTTGAGATATTTGATGCTTAATATGAGCATCCTCACTCCAGTTGCCCTGCCCCGTGTGGACCTCTCCCCACTGAATTTACATTCACACACCTATTTTCATCCTACAGATATATTAAAAGGGAAGTTTTGTTCAGGGTTAATGGTAATTTATTTCTCTGGAGGTGAGATTTCAAATGTTGCTCAGGTCAGCTGCAGAGAGATTCAGTGATCTTTGTCCTAATTGGCAATTGGTTCTCGTCACATAACCAGTATCACCACAATGACAGATTGATGTGATTCTCTCTCTGCCCAGGAGGTTCAGCACTGGAATAGCAGGGAGTTTTGCAGGTCAGGAGCGAGGTGCATTGCCAAAGCTCTATGGGGGAAGCTTGCACAGTGCATGTCTATACTCTGCTTGACTTAATCAATGCTAAGATTCCCATTTTCAATTAAAACAAAATTTCCCTCCTCCCCCCACACACGTGTGTGCACATGTGTGCATGCACACAAGAGATTTTGAAGTTGCAATTCAGCTAAGCAGTTTTGGTTTAGAGTCTATGCCTTTTGCTTGGATTTGAGGTTCACAGTCTTAAGGTGGCCTCTTTGCTTCAACATATATTCCTGATATGTTCATGTTCAGAGCCCTCTGCAAATTTCCTCCCATGTTGCCCAAGATGCATTCTGAAATTCTTCAGTCTCTGTATTAGCTGGAAACCAGAAAGCGCTTGATCTGCCTACAAAAGGGTTGAGTGTTAGCCCCCTCCCCATCCTTTGTTTGTGCTTAATATCATGTTTCTGGTTTTGTTTTAGTAAGTCCATCTGAACAATTAAATGTCTTTATGGCTTAGTTAGAGAGTTTTAGTTCCCTTTGTGGATAAAAATCTATATGCTTTACCAAAACAGTCAGCTATGCTGAGTTTGTAAATATTTATTCTGCTCTCTGCTGTTCTGATATTTATAGGCCAGAGCTATCTGTGAATTAGTCTTGATTTTAGTCATTTCCATTTGGTTTTGGGAATAGCCTCAGGCCTCTATCAAATCCTTACTTGTTTGTATGTAATTGCAAAAGAAAGAACAAAAATAACTGGCCTGGCAGTGAGCTCTATCCTTCGTCCCCCACTGCCTGTGCTTTCCAGCGCAGTGTTTTCCTCTTCACACATGAACTTCACTCTCTCTCCCCTGTCCATACAGCCCTGTATTAAACACCCACGGCTGCCCTTTCCCTTCTAGGCAACGCTAATGTTGGAGGATATTTGTGAGGAATTGATTTATGACTGTGTACCTTCTTGTGCAGTTGTTAAAGTCCGAGGCTTCTGGTTTTCAGTTAAAACAAAAATTATTACTGAAGAGTTCCTTGATTAATTTTGTCCTGAATCCTTAATAAATACATGAAAGAAAGAAAGCAATCCAAAGAGATGTTCTCCCAGTCCTTGACCACACAGTTTTCTACTGCTTTTTTTGTCATTTTACAGCAAAAGCAGTTGCAAAACTGATAGTCTGTAATGAGGGATGCGGCAGAATCTGAACAACACGAGAAAACACCCAAAGAGTAATTTTGTGCTATCTTTGCATCCTTCTCTGCCCCAAATAATTCATGTTTAAAAAGGAATGCAAGATTATTCCTGCTTAGCATGAAAATGGGAGGCCCCAGTGTTTGAGTGGGGTGTAGCTGCACGAAGCACCTGGTATTCACATAATAACGGAAAAGCAACAGTTTGGTGATCTGATGGTGAAGCAAAGGAAATGGATCTTTCTGGAGGCCACTCACTCACTCTTGGGTTCTTCCTCCACTTTAGGGAAAAAAAAAAAAAGTAAATCTGAATGCATTTTCCTGCCCTGTGGTTTCCATTCTAATCTAATGATATGAAACCTCTCTCTCTTCTTCTCCTCCTCCTCTCTCTTGGGAATCCGAAAGCAGATGCTCCTGCTGCCTGCCTTGTGCTGTGTTCTCAATGCTCCCTCCCTTACCCTGGGTTCCTAAGGGTTGTAGAGTTTTGTGTATATGTTCTGTAAATGTTTAAAAGGTACAGCAGTAAATCCCAAACTGCCCTGGGTTCACCCTCACCCAGTGTTATGATGGGGTTGAGCAGCGCTTTGTCCCTGCCCAGCTGTGGCAGGAGATCTCCGCTGGGATCGCTCCAGTGCTGGTCGGTAGGAGGGACTTGGAGGAAGAGTGCGGGTTGCATTCTTCCTTTTGAATCCACCTGAGATGACCAGGCAGTTTTCTTCTACAGCCTGGGAGGGGAACTGTTATCAAACTGGCTGCATCTCCAGGATCTCTGTGTATTTAGAGAGTTTGGTGACTGAAGAGAAAGCAGTGTGTGTCTGTCAAAAGCTACCTTGCACCTCAGGTTCTTGCATTGGGCTGTTTGTTGACTTTCTGTTTCACAAGATAGGAGGCAGTTAGGTAATAAGTAGTTCTGCCGATTCTCCTCAAAGCAATGTGAGTTCTTGTTTCCTAACTCGATTTCTGCCCAAATTCAGTCTATTTAATAGGATTATATAGGCCCTGGCAGACTTGACACGTATAGTGCTTTACTGTGTATAAGAAACAAGATAAAAACTTTAAATATCCCTTGAATTTCATTTTGGTTTATTCTTGTTTAATAGAATGACATCAGTCTTCCCTTGATGTGTTTGGGATTTTTTTTTTTTGCTTGCTTCCAGGAAACTAGCTGTATGTTTCATTTATCCTGTTTACCATTATATTTCTAGTTCTGACCCATGTAAGTGCCTTTAAATAGCATTTTGCTCATGGCTGCAGTTTACCACGCACTTCACTGAACCGTGAATGAAGCACCTCCAGAGGAAGTCAAGAGAGAGAGAGAGGATTCCTGCTCCTTTTGTTAGTGGAGATGCATCCTCTAGATGTGTATTTAGGCACGGTTGAGCTGAACCGACAGAGCAGACATATTTGCAGAATTAATGCAGTCTGCCTGCATAACGAGTACCCTGTGGCACTTGTAAAGCTGCAGGGGAAGGGAATCCAACCTCTTTGCTCATCGGTTGCGTACCATGTGGCATTCCAAGATGTGCCCTCAATGACATTCAGAGACTAAGAGTGCGTAAGCCCACAGCAAATTCTCGGCTGAAGAGGGAGCTTTTTTTTTTTCTCTCTCTCTCTCGGATTCTTAAATGGTAAGAGATCATATTAGTGCAGATTGAAAGCTCATGGTTTTAGGACAAAGTAAGTTTATGTCCTCTCCCACTAGCGAGAGCCAGATCCCCAAATTCTTGTATAAGGCTGAAGTGTCTAGAAGTGCTTCATATTTAATTAAAAAATTGGTTGTATAGGAATAGCTAACATCTTGTCTTCACAAAGAAATCATATATGTTGGTGAGTGGAGTTCTGTAAAGAAACGCATGCTAACTGAAAGCCGGTGCAGAAAGGTATGTGGAAGCACTTAGGGGTTTTTCTCATGTTTGCGGTTACCTGTAGGTTAAGATGATATGAATTTAGGTTTTGATAACTATGCCTAGAACATTGTATGTTTGCATGTGCATTTATTTCTTCTTTGAATCAATTAGATGCTTTGAGTTGAGCCATTCTTGTTATGGACCTAGTTCCCACTCAGTGGGACTCAGCCCCTTGTTATGTAAAATAAATTAGTGGTCTTGTTTTCATTTTAATTCTAATTTTACTTTTTTTTTTTTTCAAATGTTATCGGTTGAGCTAGAAATACAAGTAGCGTTATTAACATCAGGAGACTTAATAATAAATTAAGTACCAGCAACCAGCATCACTTTCTCAGGTCACCAAATCCTTTATAATGCCAGTGGCATGAAGGAGGCATGACCTGTTTCCCTTTATCCTAGTGGAGTGAGGTAGTTTTATGCCTTCCACTCTGCAATACTAAACTAATGAGTTAAATTAGTCCATACGCTGAACTGATTTACTTAAACTTGAATAATTAAGGATGAAGTTGATAGCTTGGTAGTATAAGCTGGTTTCCTGCTCCCATGGGAGCGCCTTCCCAGTAGCGCTCCCTTCCCTGGGTAGGAAGTGAATCCAGGGTGCTAACTGGCAAAAAAACCTGATGCAGCAATGAGAGAGAGAGAAATGAACTTGTCCTGTGCTAGTTCAGCTAGTTGAACTCTCAGACCACACCACAGTAAGATCCATGATCGATCGAGGGGAGGAGGAGCACGCAGCTGGGGGAGACATGGGGCCATGAAGCCCCTGCATGGGGACGCTGGCCGCGCTCCCGGCCTCTGCCCCCTCCTCGGTTTCGCAGGAGGAATTGGCAGTGGAGCAACACAACAAGCTGCACTGGGGAAACAATCCAGCTTAAAAATAGCCTGGCAGGTTTTTGGCTTTTGTTTGTTGCTGGGGTTTGGGGTTTTTTTAAAGATACTTTTAAACGGGTTTTTTTTTAGCCAGCTTAATTCCTGCATCTGATTGACCAGAAGGCAGAGGTTACGCAGACGGGCGCTCTAGACGTAGGTGCCTTAATGCACTTAAAATGCGGCACGAGGTCAGGGAGGAGCTGGAAGAACTGCTGAAATGGTGGCAGCCTGGTTTACGCCGATTCCCTCACCAGTTTAAAGTGTGCGTGACTTCAGTAATGGGCTTCTGAATCTCGTGCTGTGTTTGATGGTGCATTCAGTCCTGCTCATCTCAGGTGGATTGTAGCTGAAACCTTCCTACTCGCTCCAAATGCCTTGGCAACAGGTAGCCTAAACTGTTGTCTCCTTGGCCGTTTGATTTTTAGGCTCCTAACAGTTTGATTTTTATGGAAATAAGGGGGGAGGTGGGGAAGAAACGAAAAAAAATATTGGTTAAAAATGAGCACGGCAGCGGGTGACGGCAAGGCCAGTTGCTGACTGCGTGCTCCAGTGGTACAAGGCAAAGACGCTGCTGCTGAGGTGAATGGTCTAAACTCCATGACAAATGAAGGGTTAACAATGCATGGATTTCAAGGGGCTCTGTTTAGTTTCCTTTGGTTTTATTTTCTTTTTTTTATTATTATTTTATTTTACTTTATTTTTTTGGTGTTGTTTTTTGTTTAATTTCTGTGTTCTGGCCACACCCAGGAGAACCGTCTGCTTTTGATTTCTCCCTTTACGGTTACATGGTAAATTTTCTTTCTCATTCTTCAGAGATGGAAACGTTCAAATACTATATATATACTTTTTTTTTTTTTTTTCACTGCTCATCATGTTGCTTGTTATTTATTGCAGAGTCTGAGGCCAGACTAAAAGGGTGGCAGTTACTCGGTCTCTTCAGGCCCTTTGAGTAAACCTTTGGGAAAAAAGGGGTTAGTCTGGCACTGCAAATTAGTCACCAATCCTAAAAATGTTTACTGGGGTTATTTAGTGTTCAGTGGGTATGCTAAGGTTTGAACTTGTTTTCTGCTTGGGAGAAGTTCCTGACAGCTGCTGGTGGAGAGGAACTGTTGAAAATTTCAGCCTTGTTATCCTAACAGCATTATTAAACCGAAGCCATTTGTATAATCTAAACTTTACAAACTGTAAGTCTTTTTTTTTTTTTTTTTTTACCCAGGATTGTATTTTCCCTTGGAGAAGGGAAGCAAACCAGTACCTGCTATAAAGTTAAGCTAGTAAACATTGGACATCTGCCACCTTTTTTACTCTTTTTTTTAAGTGTAAGACAACCTTGGGAGGGAAAACCGAGAATTGTTTGTTGTATTTGTATTTAGGTACAAAATAATCCCTATTCTTTACAGGTCATCTCTGAGAAGGAATAAAAAATATATGTATGTGCTTTTTTTTTCTCTCCCATATCAAAAATATGTATATATAATTGCTAGTTTTTAAACTTGGAAATAACAAAAATGTCAAGCGTGGTTCACCTGTTTTTTCCTGATTAAAATTCAAATGTCTGAGAGATGCATTAAGAAGAGAAACCAAGGGGGCACAAATACTGTCTCTGCCATAGTCAACTATGTAAAGCATTAACTCAGCACTGACATTAAGTGGTTCATTCTCAACAAAGAGAGTTGCACAAGCTAAGGATCAATCTGTCAGTAAAGCAAAAATAGTGATAAATTAGTTATGTTGTTCAGAATCAGATTAATTCTGTTTTAATTCACAGTGTTAACTCTTTTCATATAGTCTGCGTGTGGATTGTACCCTACCTACCTTGAGTTAACTTACTGAAAATTCCTGTTCAGTTTAAAGATATTTGATGATAATGTAATCTTAAAAATTCCATGCAGACTTCATTAATAGCAAACAAATGTGAATTAAAATAGTCTTAGTTTGGTTCTATCCTGCACAGATGAATGTCTAAAAATTACCTTCCCTCTGTTCTCCAGCTTTCAGTTTACATCATCACCAAAGACATAAATTTCATTCGATCTCCACAGGCTTGTCTAGAACAAACAGAAATTTTAATGGAAAAAGAGAAGAGGGAAATAGAGATTCCTGTCACAGTCTTTACCTCCCCTCCTCCCCCGGCCTTTTAAAGGTCCTTTTTTTCCCCATTATATAGAGCCAGAGGGAAAGGTGTTGCTCTGTTTCTCAGTCTTGCTTTTCTCTGTAGGGGTGCTTTGAAGCAGACACACGATACCTTATCCCTTCATAATCAGCCTTGCTATTACATCCCCCGCACCCACCCAGTTCCCTGCGATGTATTTGAGAATTGTGTGCGCTTGGGCTGTTTTATTAGCCCCTATCTCTTGTTGCTCCAATTTTAATTCATTTAAACAGAAGACTTTTATGCTGTTCTGAAAAAGGCATCGGTTTGTTATTTATATAGCTTTTTATTTATAGCTGGAGAAATGAAATTATCTGAAGCTTTAGATTATTGGGTTGGAGCCCAAAGGAGCACTCTCGTTGATCTCAGCGTTGCAGTACTTGGCTAAGTTCTTTTATTATTGCTGTTCAGGGGGGGAAAAAAGAAGAAAAACCACTTCATTTTACAAATGTGTGACAGTTTGGTGCTGGAAACCTAGCTGCGGATGATCAAGGCCAGCATGTGCAAGCGGCTTGGGCTTTTTAAGATTAGTATTGTAAAGACCTTTAAAAAGCACTTGAAGAATGATCGTTTGCTTGTGTGTTGTTGCTAACAGCACTTAAGAAATCAAAATGCATTTTTAGAGGGGGGAAGGTGACAGGAGGGAGGTCGGGTCCATGCATACCAATCCCAAGCTGCACGGAGGGGGCTGCGGGGCTGGCATGCCATTTCCCTGACAAGATGTAGCTGTAGATCACTCGCATCACCTTGTCATCCAGTTAATATCAGGAGTTTCCATTGCATCGAATGCAAACTTTGTTCTTCCTGCTCCTGAGGGTATCAGAGCTGGCAGAGATCACTCTCTGTACATTAAACTGGTATTTGTTTTTTACCAAGGCACAGGACCCAGTTACTCCTGTTGTTACGATACCCTAAAAGCAGAATGCAACTCAGTTTTTTTATTTGGCCTTGCTCTCTGGCATGAACAGTGTCTCATCACAGTTGTCTGTAGTAAGATACCATTTGTTAGTAGTTAAAATCCTAATTCACTTAGTCACGTTGGCTCTGTTTTAATGTCAGTGCACTCATCTCTGTGGAAGGAAGCATCATCTCTTGCCCTGCCTTGTTACGTGACTGCATGAGTTGACAGCAGCATGAGCATGTAGGACAGGCGTGCTGCATGTGCCTTCGTGGATGCGGTAAACCTCAATTCATCTGACTAAAGGGACATTTCAGCAGTCCTCGAGCCTTTGCAGTCGCCCCAACCAGGGCACGTCAGTTTTTCCTCAAACTTTATGCTCTTTAACTAGGCAGAGGTTTGTGGCTCTCCACGGCGCAGAGGTTACCATCTCACAGCAAAGCCAAGTAAGGTTGGGGCAGCGGGGTTGGGATGGAGGTAGCAGTGCGGCTGCAGCATCAGACCAAACCTGCCTGTATTGATGAGTGGGTCTCTAGGTGCTAACAAGTTTTACACCCACGTCTAACACAGTACTTATAAGAAAATTTTGAAATTAGAATATGTGATACCTCTTAAGTCTTCACATTATGTAATGTTTATTTGATGGTGTCACCTAGAAGCCTCGCTTGCCTTTAGGGCATTATTTTAGGGAAGTTACAGGCATAGGAGTAGGCATGAGCTGTGCCCCGAAGAGCTTACAAGGGATGCTTTACAAACAGCCCTTCCTCTCAGCAGTTTTCTAAGGTAGGTAATCGTAATTGTCTCCATTTTACAGGTGGGAAAAGCAAGGTTCAGTGTTTGATTTGCCCACAGCTTCGCAGAGTTCCTGGTGCCAGGCGTGACCTCAGATCGCTGCTCGCTCTCCTAGCAGCCCCTCAGGAGAACGAAGTGCTGCTCAATGTCCATGTCCCGTACTGTGGCTGGGGGGGCGGGGGAGTCCCCCAAAGCATGTGTGTTAATTCGCAGAGGGGAGAGAAGCCCCACTTGGGCTTGACCAGCTTGCTGATGTTGGAGCAGGGCTTAGCATTTTAAACAAAGAAATGAACCAAAACCAAAAATTGTCTCGAGTAACTTTGTACTTCTTTTTTGGTCTGGCCTCAATTGCTTTTATGTTTTCCTTTTTTTTAAATTACTCTTATTATTCTTATGATTACAGTTCCTTTATTTTATCAAATTTAATTTCTTTCATTTATGAAACATGCATGAACCAACAATGTGACTCTAGGAGGTTATTGCTGAGTTGTGCTGATGTCGATTTCATACTGTGATATTTTTTCTCTATTTACCTAGAGATCAGTATTTCAATATATAACGATGTGCATGTTTTCCCCCCTTCTCCCGCTGCATGCAGGGATTCGGGTTCGTAACTTTCGAGAATAGTGCTGATGCAGACAGGGCCAGGGAGAAATTACACGGCACCGTGGTAGAGGGCCGTAAAATCGAGGTGCATGTCTTCAGTAATTCAATTTCTTCTTTATATTTATTCTTTTGATTTCTTTTTGTGTCTTGCCTCACTTATTTCACATTTGGATCCCAGTCTCATGTGTGCGTGTGTGTTTGTGTCTGTGTCCTTCACCTCCCTGCACTGAAATGTATAAAAGTTTACACCCCTTATGGAATATTTTTATTGTTGTTTTGGGTATTTTTTTCTTTTCTTTCTTCTTTAATTAAGTTGGTTTTTTTTCTTTCCCCACCCAGTCCAAATTTTTGCCCTTCTGCTGTCTTGATTTTTCCTTTGCTTCAGTTTGCGAGGCTCCGATTTCCTGTTACCAGGCCTGAACAAAACTAACTGGAAGAGTACTGTCCAACTTCTAACTCTCTGTCCAAAAAAGAAAGCAGGGGGCCAGCCAGTATCCTCTCTTTCCTCCGAGGCCAGTTCTCCTCCACGCAAGTGTGAGATGATGCCCGTGGTGGGAGGGGAGGGGAGACACGGGGCAGAAGCCCCGGGTGGGCTGTACTGTACACACCGCTGGTTTCTTGACCTGCCTGCAGTCAAGAGTTGGTTCAGTGAAAGTTAATCCTTAAAATTTCTAGCTCTCACCGTGGGGGAATAAACGTTAGCTGGCCAACAGAGCCATGTGTCGGGCACGCCTGGTGTTGACCAGTTTGGTGGTCCACTGTGGTGAAGGCTAACTGGCCTCTTCCCTCTCTCCCTCTTTATCTAAAAAAAAAAAAAAGAACAAATATTAAAACAAAAAAAAGCCGCCGTTTTTGAGTAAGATGTCTGCATTTTTTGCTTTTTTTTTTTTTATTTCCCTTTTTGATGGTTTAGCGTTTAGGGCCCTTCACTTGACTCACTCTTTCAATGGTAACTATACACAATGCTGGCGATGGTACGAGTTGGCGGTAAGTGAAACAAAAGCGCTAGAGAAGAAGCTTTTTTCTTTTTTTTCTTTTTTTTTTTAATTTTTCTTAAAATTACAAAAAAAAACAAAAATAAGAAAGAAAATCCATCTGCCATCTCACATTAACACTACGAAATGTGATTTGACTTGTTGTCCCCACCCACCTCCTTCCCCCTTCTCCCACCTTTTATTTTCAATGCTGTTGAGTAATGCCGCCTGGACTTTGGATGTACATATCGTTTTGTAGCAGTCTGAGCTGTTTGATTACTGACTTCATGGTGATTTCCCCTTGCACATCTTACTCAGAGTTACTGAACTCCAGTTTGGCTGGTTTTTATTAATGCACCCATTTCCTCTCTCTCCTGCCCCTCCTTTCTGCTGCTCTTTCTTTCTGAGACCTGTTTGTAGCTGTTACTGTTTGTTTTCCTCTCTTTTTCTTTCTCTCTTTCCCCCTCCCCTGCCCCTCCCCAGTTTATTTCTTTACTTGGTTAAATGCAGCTGTTGGTCTCTGCTGACTGGTGGTTTCTGATCGGTTCTGGCAATTTTTTTCTTTAAGTGCTTGTGTTGCACTTTGCTGTAGCAGCTGATTTCAGGCACTTGCTCCATCTTAATGATTGTCTGTGAGACCCTATCTCCTCCCCGCCCCCTCCCCCCAATCAATTGTGGTTTTTTTGTTTTCCTTTCTTTTATCTGTGTGTGTTTAACTGCATGCTCTCAGTCTCATCATTGTTGTTTCCCATTCTTTCTTTTTAAATGTGTAATGTTTCTATTGTTTTGGGGCTGAATCGAGAGTAAAATGTAGCTCCAGACTCCCCACCCTGTGTACACTCACCATCCCTAAGTCTCAAGGGCCCAAGGCAGCCTTTATTTTTATATCTCCTTTTTTTTTTTTCTTTTTATTCCTTTCCTTTTTCACCTTGGCCTCAATTCCCATTTGGCATGGGTTTTGATAAATTATTGATGTTACAAAGACTTCACCCTCCTTGCAAGAACTTTGAGGCTGTCTGACACGGGGCTGCAGTAACTTGGCTTCCAAACTGGTCCATCTTTTCTTTATCAGCACCATCTCTGTGGTAACACCCCACTTGCTTGAGCAATCAAACTGCTTGGAACTATGCAGAGCTCTGTAAAGAGGGTGGAGGGCACAATAAAGATAAAAAAAAAGACCCAGGTCTACTGCTATGTATTTCTTCTTTTTGCTTCACGAGATTTTTGAAAAGGAAAAAATAAGCTGGGAAAAGCTTTGACAAAGATGGGCATGAAATTGGTGAACACAGACCATCCAGACGCTTCGTGGCGTTCCAGAAGTCTCCTCAAGCCTTGGGAGTTCAAATCTAAAGCTGCTGGACTCCTGGCTACTTTTTTCTGTCTAAAAAATATGCCTTCCAGTGACTTACTGGGCCCCAGTCCCAATGGTGAGCTTGAGAAGCAGTTCAGCTTATGCGTCACCTGGGCTGCAAAACTATCGCTGCCTCTCAAACAGAACATGGGCAAAACCTCCGGAGTTTTGCCCTTTTGATCAATGAGCTGAGAATAAGCACGCTAAGGGGTGGCAGAGCAGTGGAATAATCTGCATTTTACTCTCGTTGGCCTTTTGTTTAATGCATAATTTTAAAGTGCCATGTTTAGCTGTAACTTTTATAATTAAATGGCAACTGTTAAAAGTAATTTAAAAATTGCATTCTTGTAAAATTAGTTGTTTAAATTTTTTTGCTCAGAGAAATATAGTGTTTATGTGTGTGTGGTATCTGAGGGTTTTCCACCATTTTCCCTAATGTCCTGTACTTCCTTCCCTCTCCTCCCCCTCCCCTTTCTTACTTTTAGGTTAACAACGCCACTGCGCGAGTGATGACCAATAAGAAGATGGTCACACCTTACGCAAATGGTAAGAGAGACTGTTTGTACTAATGATGAGCTGAAAGGTTTGAAGAAAGACAAAAGAGAAAAGTCATCACTTCTCCTCAGGACCAAAAAGACCACCAAACAAACCAAAAGAAATTAAGAAAGCCTACCAACTCTAATTTATAGCATTATTCTGCAGTATAACCCTTAAGTGTTTCTGGAGGAATACAGTTTTACAGATGGAGAAGTGGGGACAGAGAAGAGTAGGTGACATGCCCAACATGGCCAAGCTGGGTAAAGAAGCCAAGGACCGATGAGTTGCCTGCTGTTACTGCGAGCTGATGCTGTACAGCGGGATATGCAGTGCTCCTGAGTCTCATTGCCATCACACGGATACCTAAATATGAATGCAAAAGCGTAACTTCAGATATGCAGTTGAATCTATCTCAGTTTAACTGTAAAAGTACAACTGTCCCCAAGCAGACAGAAGACAGGCATTGCTTGTTTGCTCGCTTTTTGTTACCGACTGTATTCAACTGTTTTCCACTGAACCTAAATAGAGAAAGACCAAGTTGTTTGGGTAAGGAAGAATCCTGTTTCGTTGGGATATCTTGGTGATTCTGTCTGTGCAGTAATATTACTGCACAGGCATATAGCCTAAAAAGTCGTTCTTCTTCCAACAGAACTGAGTGCTGCTTTGATAGAGATTTTAAATCTGAGTCTTTGTCCTGAAATAGGCAAAAAAGTTTTTTTGGTCTGAAAATATTGCCAAACAGCTTCAATGAGGCAGGAAACTGCATATACGTAGTTGTTAGTGTGAGACTGTTTTGATTACAACATAAGACTCGGAAGTCAGAAGATACGAATTTTATTTGTAGCTCTGCTACTGACTTGTTGTGTGGCTCTTGGCAGATAAATCTTATTTTGGTTACAGAACTGGGGAACAGGGCTGGGCAGAAAGGCTGGGATTCTGAGTCTCAGTGTCTGAAAGGAACCACGAGATTTTATAGCAAAAGACAACAGAGCCGTGTTACATTGTCCTGAAAACAAGGGCAGGAAATGTGTATGGTTATTTGGTAACAAAACTTGACTTACTTATGAAGCCCTGATAACAGACAGGAATATTTCGCTTTCGCAGACAACAGTTTAAAGCCAACTTTAAAGCTACACAAAGGTATTAAAGATTGGACCAGACTTGAGGCATACCGATGAGTGGTTGTCTACTAAACTTGAGGAGTGATCTCAGTCCTCTTGATGCCACCGCTCACTCGAGTGTTCTGCCATCGAGGTGGGCAGCGCAGCAGCAGCAGCAGCGTGCCCAGGCTTGCGCAGGGAGCGTGCGCTGCACCTCGTGCTGCTGCTGTGCCAGTGGGTGAGGGGGTGGTGTTGATGGGCTGCAGTTCACAAAGTTGTTCACTACAGTTTCTAGGATAGTTAGAGGTGTTACAAACGCAGTAAGTGCGTCAGGACTCCCAAGACAGAGGAAAGGTATAGATTAATTTAAATGAAAATACCTGTGTGTTTGCTAGCTGAAACGCTGACATCTTTCCCGAAAGGAATGTTTTTGTGGAATCTGGCCCAGATCACGTTGTTAGATTTACACCCAGTCTCTCCCCTGATAGAAAGCGGACTGGGGGATGGGGCACAGATAAATTTTGAGATCTCACTGGAAATGTGTTTTTCCTCTTACTCCAGTGATGACTTCTTTAAGCACTATTCTCCTGTAGGTGTTACGTTGATGATTTGCAGTTCTTGCCAATTACTCAGATGATCAATTCTCTGGGAAGGTTTTTACCTGAAAAGCAGCATAAATAAGACAGGAAATACTAAAATTGCAGAGAAGAAAGTGTCAGATGAATAGACTGAACTGCTTTTCAGCACTGTAGTTGCATAATTCAGTTAGTGAGGAGATTCAGACACTGTTGCTCTTCGGCAGATTTCTAGCAAATAAGACAGAAGGGTGTTTTGAGAATTTGAGGCTATAAATTGACTTGGCCTGGGCTGACAGTCTGGGCTGGTGGCTTTAGAGGGGTTTTGGCTCCACAGCGTTCTGGTGAAAGCAGGGAGGAGCTGGCAGCAAGGTTCATGCAGGGAACACAGGGTCGCAAGGTGCTTGTGGTGAATATGCATATAAGGTAGTTGGCATTCCCTCAGCAGGCGCCTTTGCCGTGCCTCGGATCAGCTGATGTTTTGCTGCTCCCTCTGATACAGCGACCTGTACCTAGAACTTGACATTAGAAAAAGGCAGTTGGCCTCCATCTACACCAAGGGGGATTGAGGCGAAGCAGAAATTTCAAAGAGCCGTGCATGTGACGTGGGGGCGCACGCAAGAGACCGTTCCCCCTACCCACGCTGCCCACTCCTCCTCTTGGTGTAGATTTTGGCATTCACTGCAGTCTTTGTTGTTTCAGGTTGGAAGTTGAGTCCTGTGGTTGGAGCGGTGTACGGCCCTGAGTTATATGCAGGTAGAGCTTAAGTAGACACTTCCACTTCTGCCATTTAACTGCAGTGGTGTTTGTTTATGTTCTCAATCTGCTGTTTCTTTATAACCTTTTTACGTTTTGTTTCTGTTTTTTATTCTTTTTAAAATTAAATTAGCGTCCAGCTTTCAAGCAGATGTCTCGCTGGGCAATGACGCCGCAGTGCCCCTGTCAGGAAGGGGGGGTATTAACACTTACATTCCTTTAATCAGTAAGTAGCCCCCGTTGGCCCCTATATTGTTACTGTGCTTGAGTTAACGATGACCTGTTACCCTTCTTCTCTCCAGTCTGTATAATATATACTTGAAAGAATGGGTCTCGCTGGGAATGAGTGTACCTTGAGCCAAAGTATACTGTGCAGTTGCTGTAACTTGTAACTTGTTCGTCTACAGTGATGGTGAACGGGTCTTTCTGAGTGATGAGGAGGCTGCGGAACAAGGGGAGGGTGTGTGTGAGGAATAGGCCATTCCCTTGCCCCCCTCCCCCTTTTGAAATCAAAGAAACCAAACAGACAAATCCCTAAAGTACATATTATACAAGCTGCTAAACTGCGAGTCTGCAGGGCCCCTAAGCGGCATGCACCTGGGCGCATGGGTTTGCGCCCCAGGACTCCTTCCCTCTTGGTATCTGTTTATTACGTGTTTGCAGATGCCTCTGAGGTTTTACATCATTTCATCAGGAGCCAGTTTACTTCAGTGTAAAGCGAAATAAAGCAGGCCCCACTATACATGGAGCCAGTTGTTGGTCATGCTTGTTAAATGAAGATGGGCTCTCAGTAAACTGGCAACTTTATGGGAAATTGCTGCTGCTGTTATATGGGCTATCTTGTCTTTCAGGCCTTAAAATGAACATACAGAGGATTGGGTGGCAAAGAGTGGGAGGGGAAAGGAGGGAAGAGACTGATGTAAGTTGGTTGACTTTAAGGGCCTCTTGACAAATTATTTTAAAGAGCCTCTGCAGTTTTGGAAGAGCCGCCTGCTATATTGATAGTAACTCTCTGCGCTTCTCAGACTCTAACCGGACTGCATGGCGGTGTCAAAAGGCGGGGGGACTTGTACCCTGTTTGTGGTGGGTGAGGCATGCCCAAAGCAATAACCTCTTGCATGCCAAACCTCTCTGCAACCCTTCTTCCCCCAAAGGCCCTGGTGTAGCAGGAAGTCTGTATCGGATGCTTGCTGGGTTATAAGCATGCCCCTCTGCAGGACTGGTGCAAAATGTCCCACCGCTGTGGAGCTGTTGTGTCACTTTGAAACAGATGGTTGTTCTCTGAGCAGGAGCTTGGATCCTTTTCACCTCCACTTTGTCTGTCTTTACAGTTCCAGGCTTCCCCTATCCAACTGCAGCCACCACAGCAGCCGCGTTTCGGGGAGCCCATCTGAGGGGTCGAGGAAGGACAGTGTATGGGGCAGTCCGGGCAGTACCTCCCACAGCCATCCCTGCCTACCCAGGGTAAGCACTGGTCACGAGAGCGGAGTGCTCTGCACAATTGTGTCAAATAGCTAATCGGTTAACCAAAACATAACTAAAATCATCTGGATGGTGAGAGTCAGGGTACTGCTAGTGCCAGAGCATTCTGCACATGGTGGCATCCCGTGGGGGCAAATCTAAATTTTTCCTGTTCTCGACTGAAACAATTTTCAGTACTTGTGACAGCTTGAAGTGCTGATGGATTTCCTTCTCGTAATTTCTCGATTTGTCTATGTGGTATATGTCATCCACTGACCCAATATGCTATAGTGCTACTGAGAAGGACACAAAGAGAGAAAGTCTAAAATTTCTGAAAAGATTCTACTCTTTGCACTCCATTTTCATTTTCATATCCAGGAATGAGGAATATTATCCATTACCTTCATGCCTCACCATCTGGCCGTAGGACACAGAAGAGCCAGTTACCCACAATGGATTTGCTTTCTTTGTTGGAGACGGTTTAAAAAGGTTTAAAACAAAGATTAATCAAGTCCATTAATTTAAATCTGGGACTGTTTGGAGTATGGGGAGAACGGAAGTGCAGCATTCCTCTAACTGTTGTATGAAGCAATGGTGAATGCGTGGCCTTAGCATTCTTTGCCCTCTGACTTTTCACTATTAATGCAGTGGAATAGATGCTGTTACAGAAGAATATTCTTCTGCTTAAAAGTACAGGGAACTAGATTTGTATGTGAGTTTTGTTTTGGATTTTTGTTTGTTTAAGTGTGATGGAATGACAGATAAATGAGCAAATCCCTTTCAAACTGTCTTTTTTTGGTTTTGATTTTGAGGATGCATTATTCACATTGCCTGTCACTGGAATTTTATTTGCCACATTTTCCAGGCAATGTTTTCAGAAAGAATAGGAGTAGGAATGAATCCTTCAACACAGAGAAGTGGACTCACGCTATTTTTCTTTAGATTAACCCTGAAAGGGAAGAATATAAATAATGAATCTTTTGTTAAAATAGGAGGTGGAAGCCACATACATCAGGCCAGCTACTTGCACTGATGTATGCTGGATAAGCTTGCAGTACCTTCTGTAGCAGATTAAGTGGTGAGAGCTACTGTGACCCTTTCTTTTTAGAGTCCAGTCTGATGTATAAAGCAGAGCTCAAGGAAGCAAAGCTGCAGTGGTCATGTATCTGCCTAGCTTTGCTCTGCAGCAAATCTGACAATGTTCTTATTTAACCCACCAGAAGACTTCTAACTGAAACCTCATCTGAACACATTGGCTTTCACAGGCCAAACACAGAGTGTTTCTTCTGGATTTTCCAATCCACCTCTTTTTGCAATTGCTCCTAGTTCATCTTCTGTAGCCTCTAACCATAGTCTCTGACCTGCAGCTTGTCTGTCTGTTGCTCTGAAAATGACACAGTCCGGTTTTATGAGGAACTACTCCACAGTGAAGCAGAGCAACAGAGCTGAGCTAAGTGCTGCCGTCTCGCAGAGTATGAAATATTTGCACTGGGGAGGGAGTGTGCTCTTCTTTCTTGAGAGTAAGAGCTGGAGCATTCCTAGCAAGAGGCTGTCACGAGTGGCACCTTATGGGGGGGACTCTAGGTTTATCTTTGTAAGAAATTCAGCCCAAGTCCCATCCAAAAGGTTTATCTCCGTTTAGAATATGGGCCAGGCTCCAATGATTATTACTTCCAAATACTGTCTCATGACTGTGTTTACTTACATTACGCTGAGTTTTTCTGACCCTGCTGACTGATTTCACGTCTTCGTGGGCAGCGTTTACTATCCAGTAAACATTTGCAGGGCAGCAGGAGGCAAGGCAGCTTCACAAATGGCCCAGAACTGTCCCTAGTCCCAAGTACTGGGATGTAGTTAACTAATTCTAGTGTTTATTGCCATCATATTCTGAATCTCTAACAGATATTTTGTAGAGGAAGTTTGATTCCTTGTGGAATAATACAAAATGTGCTATGCAGTTCCATGTTACCGTAACCTGTAGGACAGCCACTGCTCCATGTAGGCACTGTTGACCCTCCATGTAGTCAGGGGCAGGCACACATTTCTGGCACCTTGCCTTGCATCGGTTGTTTTCTTGCTGGCCAGTGGAACGGTGATGCCGTCAGATCAGTCAGCAACGCATGAGCGATCATTACATAGTGAGTAACTTGGAAGACGACAGGAAAGTAAGCTACAGGTTAACTCAAACCTGGTAGAAGGAACTAGTTTTCACAAACCTTAGTGGTGTTTAAGTTGCAAAACTTAATGGTGTCACTGCACTTGAGAGTTTAGAAGAATTCAAAAAATATGGCATGTAGATTAATAAAAAGCTCGTTGGAATTCCCATACTGGATCAGACCTGAGAGCCGTTCAGGTTAGAGTAAGTTTTGACAACCTCTAGTGATAGATACTCCAGAGGAAGGTGCAAGAGATCATGTTATTTTTAATAGTTGTAACATTTAGCTTTACTCATGCCTATGCAAAATGTGCATGCTTATGTATAGACATGGCTGTTTATCCAGGGTAGGCAGCTCATACCTTGGAAAGCAAATGCTGAAAACACTGTAGGGGATGTTAGATAATCGCCTGAGCCTGACCTCAGAATGCAAATGCAACCTTCAGTTTATAATCAAGGTGGCATCCAACAGAAGTTTATAAACTCTGACATGTAGCATGAGCAAAACCTGTACTGGAGTATTGCCCTGAGTTATAGCAGCTGTACTTTCTAAACAAGAATGCTGACAAGTTACATTTCAGACCAAAACCAGTGAGAATTAAGTCATTATGAAAAAAAGACCCACAACCCAACTGGTCTGTTGTAAAACTCTCAAAACTAAATAAGCTTGATCAATTTTATTTCTCGAATTATAGGTTAGGCATTGACTTGTTCATGGTCATTAAGTACCTGAAAGAAGAGCAGACTTGTCATCATATAGAATAATTTAGTCTAGGAGTGTAAATATATAGAGAATTCACTGACTCAAAGCCAAAAGTAGAGGAAAGTCAGACCAGATAGAAGGCAGTAGAGAGCTTTGGGGGTTTGGAGTAATTTTTTGGTTCCTTTTACAACTCAGTCAACTGTTGGTACACGTAAATGATACGATAATTTACAAAACCAGCATATTTCTTTTTCCTGTGAATGTTTTTTAGCTCAGCTCATGGGCTTTTTGCAGATGCCACTGAGATTTGGTGGACTGCTGGGCTGCTTTATGCTTCTGGTCTGTTTACATAACCAGAATGGTCTCTGTGGTTCTCAAATGAAGGAATTCTCCCAGTTTTTGCTAGCATTAAGAATCACAAATATTCTAGCATATAAACAAACTTGCTAAATTTCAACCCAGGCAGTCGGTGTCAGTCAAGTCCTAAGTGAAGGAGAGGTGGAGGACGAACGTGTACTTGGTTGTTTGGACCCAGGAAGTCTACCTGTTACTAGTGTTGCTTGCAGTTTTCTCTGGACAGCTGATGCTAGCATCTCTTGCTGACAGGTTTTTAAGTTACAGGAGTAGTGGCCTGATCCAATGTGGTAATGCTTAGATTCGTCCAACTGATTGTGTTCGGAATAACTGTTAAAACTGCTAACCTGTTCATAAACCAACAGTCACTTCCTCTGTCATGCGTTTGCCTTTCCTGCAGGAGCAGGTGGAGTATCACTGCTAAAACATTCCCGGTCCTAGATAGAGAACCCAGCAATGTAAGTCACTGCCTCAGGAGCCAAATTCTTTGTTATGTGGTTGTAAAAAAAAATTAGCTTCAACAAACACAATCTTACGGCCTGCTTCTCCCTGCTGAAGTGGCTCCCTTCTTCCTCTAACAAGGGTCTCTATTTTCATATCTGCTCCTAGCGCTCTTGGAGACAGTAGTAACCTTGTCCATTGGGAATGGAGTGTACTTTTCCCCGGGAAGACAGCAAGACTAAAGTATTCAAGCAGGAGCTAACACTGCAACAGATTATTTTTTAATTTAATTTTAATTTTTTTTTAGTAATAGCATGCAGAATTTTGGCAAGATCCACTGGGCTTTTTTGTGTGTGCGTGCCTTACAATAGGTGGGTGTGTGAGGGTGGCAGGCTTTTTGGCAGCATTTCGCATTCCATCTGATGAGGGAAAAATGATAATTGACAGAAAAGCTAGTGTTCCATACCTTCTTTTTCCTTAATGCTACTGGTAAGTCATGCACATCAGATCCACGAACATCACAGATGGTGGGGCTAATGCTTTTTAAAGCCTTGAGCAAGTTCATGTGGAGCTATTCAGAGGACAAAGCGGGAGGAAATTCCTCAGTTTGAGGAACTCAGAATGGGTGGGGGGCATCCCCTCTCTTCCTTCCTCATCCTTCCCCAACCCCTGTCCCCAAAGCGAGCTGCGTAGTCTTATACTAGCAGATGCTGTGGTAAGGGTGGCTCTTTGGGAACCCCAGGCTCTGGTTTAACAGCTTTTAACTGCTTGAAGTTCTGAGAGAAAGAAAACTATGGCTTAAAGCATAAAAAACACCATCCCATGGAAACCCTTCCAGTTGCTTCTCTCTGCTGCGGAATAGGTCGTTACTACCAGGGACTCCCACTGCACCTTTCAATTCTTGGACCTTGGACCAGTCACCTAACCTTTTTAGCTCATTATCTCTGCTTGTGAAAGCAATGCATTGTGGGTATTTTTGGTTTTTTCTTTTTAATTACATTTCTCTGTGTTTACTTTGATCAGAATTGATTGACGTGTTTTCCTGAGGTGTTGCATCAGTTCTTTAAGATGCTGAATAATAATACTTTGCATGCTTGTGTGATCAGCCAAATCTTATCGCATGTCTAATGTGCAGGGTAAAAGCAGGTGATGTATGGATGTCAGAAACAAAGTCACGTTGCCCTGTGAAGCTCAAAATACATAATCGTACACAACTCTCTGAAACGTACTTCTGACGTAGGTGACTCCAGCCCCTGTGGGATGCCTTCTGAGGGGCTCCTCGATTTCACGAGCCCGCTTCATGAAGCCAATGTTTCCATGTGTTTAGGGGGGATAACTAAAATCATTCCAGAAGAATAACCAGAGTGGAGGTCTCTAAACCCTTGTTTCTCTTCTTCAGGACATCAGATCTTTTTGAGTCTATTTTTATTGTACAAGATGGTGGTTCCCCTCCCTCTCTCCTCCGCATACTGTCTCCCCCTCTGCCCGCCCCTTCCCCCTTTGCATGCCGTGGAAGATGACTTGGAGCCGTCTAGCGTGCGTGCGCACACACATTCTCTCGCTGATTTGCTCCTGCCAAAAGCCCAGGTTATGGATTCATACATCACCTGCCTGTGTAAAACGCATGTGCATGCTGCCGTCCTCAATAACCGGAATGTGTTTTCTGTTCTTTTGTTTTTTGTTTTTTGTTTTTTTTGTTTTTGTGTGGATTTTCTGCAGTGTGGTTTACCAGGACGGATTTTACGGTGCTGACCTCTATGTAAGTACACACACCGGAGCCTTCTTGTCCCCAACCCCTGACAAGCCAGCCTTTTTTTTTTATTTTATTTTATTTTATTTTGGTTTGTTGGTTTGGTTTGGTTTGGTTTGTTTTTTTTAAATGATCATTTACTTTAATTTTCTTCTTCCTTGTGGATATATATATTTATATATTTAGGAATGCAAGCATGCTTCTCTGTCACTGCGCTTGCCCCTGGGTGCAAGACCTAAGCCTTTGGGTTTCCTGATCATTGCCAGGTTCAGTTTACTGGGTGTCCTGTCCCCCACATGCACACTGCTACTAATCAACCTGAGAGATGATTAGCAAATTAAAATTTCTCTCAACACTTCTCTGGTTTCCATAATTTGGATATAAAAATAACAGGACTGGTTTAGCCTCAGACCTTCCTTTTCCTTCTCCCCCTCCGCCCTCCCCTCTCTCTCCCCTCTTGGGGCCCTTTCAGGTTTGATTTGTGCAGCCCACACTAAACTGAGAGAGCTGTATGTTTAAAAATGTTCATGTGCCACTGGGATGTGGAGATTATCCCTTTGGGAAAGACACTGGAACTGATTAAAAATGGAGACTGAGATGCTACAGTGAAAACTGACATCTCATTTTGCTCATAGGAATGGTACCTAAATAGGCTAAATTCTCTCGCCTCTTTGGGGAATTGTAAAGTACAAATATGTGGAGATAGTCAGTTAGAAGAGTCAGCAGCCTCCTCCTGTCTAGGAATTAGCTCTGATACCATGGGAGACTTTGTTCTGTCATTGTCTTTGTCCTACACAGCCAGGCCATACTGCAAATCTCCAGGGCATCTGTGTTACATGTAGGTGGGTCGTGGATGGAGGGGTTCTGGCTGGCCAGTGGGAAAAGCGATTTCCTCTGCGATGGAGAGCTGTTGCAGAGCAGCTGTGGTAGGAGTATGCCCTTCAAAGCCAAAAAGCTTCAGGTCTGCTGCTGCCATCGCAACTTGTGGCCTGCCTGGCTCTAGCAAAGTTCCCATCCGTGGTGGCATAGTAATAACTCTCTGGAGCTGGGCAAGTTTTACACTGAGTAGCGGCACAGTTTTCGGCATGAGTTTCTCATCCCCGCTCCTGCGACAGTGCTGCTTCTGACATTTATAAAGAGGTCCCTGGGGTTAGACTCAAGATAATGGATGGAATTAGCTCCTGGATTTTGCTGGCGTCTATGAAGGGTCAAGTCATGTAAAGGCGCTTTTCCCAAAACAGGTTGAAAGACGTGCTCTCTGAGCGTAGAGATACTGGATGCATTTCTTCATTTTTACATACAGTATCATGTGCGCAATCCTTTAATAAATTGATCTACCTAGTCAAGTGTTCTTTGTAAAACTGTGTCAAGGACTTCAGAGAGTTCTGGGTTTTCCCGCCTCACTCCTAAAACACTGGTTTTACCAGCCACTGACTTTGCTTGCTTACTTGCTGTAGCAGTGAGCAATGCTTAGTGCCTCTTCCCTCAGGTTGTGGCAAATAAGAGGCTGTCATGTTGAAGAGGAAAACTGTCCAGGGTTACTCCCTATTTCTTTTGAGAAAGCTCCTTCAGAGCTTCCATTGCAGGTGGTGAGGAGAGGCTTATTTGTTTTAAGGAAAGAGATTTGAGTAATGAAGAATCCCTGTAACCACTTGGTGCTGCTTTGCGGTAGCATCATGTAACACAAAAACAAGCCCCCAAGTCAGGTCAGAACCGTTAGGTGGCCTTCTGACGACTTTGCTGCTGGTGGCTCAGGTCTTGTAAGAAAGCAGGATGCTGGAAGAGAGGACTCCAAGGTAGATTGTGCTTTTTCCTATGTTATTGCTGCCCAGAGTCTTCTGCTGAAGCTCAGGAAAAAGTTGTCACAATCCAAACATGAAGTTACCCTTTCTAACAGTTTGCTTGGCACACATGGAATGGTTCTGGGGTCCCTGTGCCCCGCTGATTTGTTGTGCTTTTCACCGCAGTGCTTCCAACCCTTTGGTTGCTGTGAAAGGCTGGTCCAGATTGTGTAAGGGATGGCAGAGAGTGCTTGAGTTAGGGCTGGGGGAAAAGTTAAATTGAGATTCTCTTAGGTCTTCTGAGTCTGTCAGGTTGTGTCAAAGAGGGCTGGAAAGGAGCTGAGCTGACAGGGAATGGTTAGTGGTAGGCAAGATGAAGGGGAAGTGTCCCAAGTTTGGGCTGCTTTTTCTGCATACATATTATGCACCAATTTCTCATTTTCCTCCTCCTCCTCTTCCTCACTCCTTTTTTCTTTCCTGGGGCAACCATCCTGCTAGCCACTTCTTCTGTGAAGAAGGCATTCCATCTCTTGTTGGATGCGTCCCACTCTGGCAAGACACCTGAATTCATAAAATGACCTGCCCCAGGATGCAGAGGGCTTCATTTCGGATCATAAGAAAGGTTATCTTTCTTCTACAATGGGGTCAATCTGGGCGGCGGGGGGGAAACCCAAATAAAACCCACCCGTGCGAAGACTGCTCCTGCCTGTGAAAAGCGTGCTTGCATCCACTGGAAAGAAAAGGCTGGTGAGCCCTGCCGCGGGCTGTTTGTATGATTGTTTCTTTCCACAGCTGTGTTTTTTTGAACTGCTCTTCCTGTGTTCTGTTATAGAATAGTCTTACAGGAACCAATCATTAGCGCTAAAATACCTCAGGTAGGAGTGCCAGTGTGACCTGCCAACCGATCAGATTGTGGATTGCAGTGGAAAAAACTGAATTATACTAACCATTCCGGCACCACATTAGAGATGGGAACAGAGGCTTTTTTAGGGCAGCGCAGACTCACGTGTGATCCAAGCCCCCGCTGTAGCAGGGTGGCGCGTGTCCAGATTTCACACCGAGTGGCATTTCATTCAAAAAAATTTAAAAATAATGTAAATTCAATGGAAGGGTTAACAAGGTCATGCTTGTCCCATTACCATGTAGAAGCACCTACTGCAATGGACACCGTTGTCCTGTCACCTCTTTTAATTCATTCATGCTCATTCCTGGTGCACATATGCCACCCTTCTAATACGGAAATACTGGAAATGGTTCTAGCCCTTTCTGCTTCTTAATTTCTGTTATAGGGCAGTTTGAGGGTGGAGAAGACGCATTTGAGATACGACAAATAAAAGATCCTAAAATTGGACTTGCTGCCTAAACCTGGCAGCCGGTCAAAAATATCTCGGTGGTCCCACAAGTTACGTGTTTCTCCAGGGTTGTGGGAACGCTCGTGTCTTGGTGGCACGAGGGCTCTTTGAGGTAAAGAGGGCCGGCAACATGCTTTGCGCGCCTGTCTAAGGCAGCAAGGGAAAAAGAAAAAGAAGGCTTTATGCTGATGTAGTAAGCTGTAGTTTTGGATTTCCTCATGTTCTCGTTGGACTGACCACCTAATATGGACCTGAAGAGTGGAAGAGAAGATGGATGTACTTTGAGCTGAAATGTATAGTCTTTAAGTGCTAATTTTCTACATTAACGTGTTCAGTAATGGAAGTGCTGCTTTAGTTGGGGTCGCAGCTTCCTGTGTATGTTGGTTTGCCATGTTTATGTTATTTCAGAGAATATATGACAATACTGAAAAAGCTATCATCTAATGTTAAAGAAGAAATTTTTTAAAAAAATATTTTCTTGCTTCATTGATGAGCCAAGGACGGTAACATGACAGAACAGTAGTTTTAAATCTGGGCTTTTGTGAATACCTGAGCAAATACAGTTGCTTGACATTTGAGATCTATAGGCTCAAGCTCTACACCTTCACGTGGGGAAAGGGGATTTAGCATAGCCCCAGCAGCACTGGCAGGATATCCAGAGAAAAAGAACTTAAATTAAAATAAACAACACTTAGGGTTGTGTTCCTTTCTCTCACATGCTCCCCAGATAATCAGAAAAATTGTTCGGGAAAAGACCAGTCTTGCTTTAGACTGTCCCTTTGGTTGTTACTTACAGCCAATAACAACACGTAAGTCTTTTCCTTAGTTCCCCTGTTTTTTTCAGAAATGTAACTGACTTAACATCTTCACAAGAAGCTCAGCCACGCTTATTTCTTCTGAGATGAGGCTAAAGATTTTAAAAACTGAACCTTGATGGGTAAACCTGTCCCTGTGGAATCACTTCACTTAAATAGACAGAGTGGGGGTTTACATGGGGGTCTTGGGTGTCAGGGATTGTGCCACTCCATGGTGTTGTCTTTTGCAGTTTGGCTGTGGCACTGAAGGAGTGTGGTGCAGCTAGAAAAGGGCCTTCTAAAAAAAATTATTTCTTTTATTGGGAAACACAATTTTTCATGTTTGTTGAAGATGCTCTACCCTGTTAAAGTTTATATTTTCTAGAGTACGTGAGGTGAGTGGCATCAGAAATCGCATGGGGTGGTAGGGCTGTGTAGCTGAGGTTACAGATGAGCTCTGCAAAAAATTGTGTGTAAACGGGAATAGTAGGAGAAAAGAACTGGTGCATTGGACAAGCTGAGCAGGGCTTTAGGTGCATTAATGGAATTCCAGGTGGGTTGTGGAGAACGGGAGCATCAGCTGCGTAAGGCAACCTGCACAGTATCTCCTGTGCCCTCTACTGGTCCCCGAGCTTGGTGAAACCAGCATTTATGAAATAAGGAGTAATGGTTGCAACTTTCCTTCTCTTTCCTTCACCCCATTTTGGTGTACTTGGACCTGCTGGTCATGCTAAATACATCCCCGTGTCAGAAATCCCCGAGCTGTCCACACTCATTGCTCCTATGACAGGAACGTACCATGGCCATTATAATCCCCATTTTTGGTTTTATTTGAAGTACACACAAGTAGAATTTACGGACCGCTTTGAACTGAGCAGGTCTGCCCGTTCGTGTACCTCTATCCTGTGACTTTTTTTCTTTTTATTTTTTTTTTCCTTAAATTAACAGTAGCTTCAATTTTGCATCAGTGCATGGTTAAAAAGCAATACACATGTCAGCTATTTCTTAACTTCATTTCTCCAATGAATTATTTCTCCTGTTGTTTTTTTTTTGTTTGTTGTGCAGTTGACTGAAGAAATGTTAACATCCCGCTCTAAATCTCTCAGTGGAGTCTCTGTTCCCTTCTCTGATATAACAGATGGGTTATTGCTTGTTATAATTATTAACATTGTGGTGTGGGCCAGGGCTAGGGTGGGAGCCATTTCGGGGGGCGAGGGCGGGGAGGCTGTGGGAGTTGTTAAGGTTGGAATGTTAACTCCAGTGGTGACTGACTGTTTCCGTAATAGCAGGTTGTTGTGGCTGCACGCTCTAGTACTTGAGGCTGTGTACTTCACTGAGCTTGTGGTAGAGCCTAGGGCGAACTGCTGTCCCAAGAGAATGCTGGGATGGATAGAACTAGCCAATATGAGTCTGAACGTGGTGACTTTGCTGGTTGTTCTAGCTCCAGATGTCAGCATGCTTAGTTTTTAATTTTGATTAATAAATGTTACGCCATTCCCCCCCTTCCCACACCTGATTCCAGCCCTTCTTTTCTTTTCTTCTTCTTTTCTTTTTTTGGTTTGGTTTGGTTTCGTTTCGTTTTCCTTTACGAGAGACGTGAGTTAAAAGAGAATTACATGATAACCCTTTTTTGGTTTCAAACTGCATCTTGCTGTCATGTGCAGAGTACGCGCCAGGCACATTTGTAATGGTTTCTGAACTGAAATGTGGCTGGCGAGCGTGGGCCAGAGGGGGAATCTGGGTGTGCGCTGAAGCCAGCTGCCCTGCGCAGGGCAGTGCCAGGCGAAAGTGCCTCATGCTCCATGCCCAAGTGACAGACCCCTTCGAGAGTTCAGGAAGCTCGTGGACTTAAGGGACAATGACATTGGTATGAAGTTTCGTCTTCATTTGGTGATTTGGATTGAGGCTGCGCATCGCTCCTCACATCTTTGTCATGTTTTGGAGGTGGCAGTAATGGTGGTGCCAAAACCAAGCTAAACCTCCCGAACCATCAGTCCAAAGTGCAGGGATTGAAACAGCTGGATGAGATGAAAAGGGCACAACTGTAACTTGACATCTCTTTCAGGCAACGTGGTGATATTTCAAAGGTGAACACTTGTGTTGCTCTTTCTTCTGTTGACTGAAATAGGAAGAGACTGAAACTCCTCCTCCTCCGGAGCAGGAAAGGGTCCCCAGGCGTGTGTTGGTTCGCACGTTAGTTTTCATGGGGCTTACACAGACTCCACTAAAGCAACCAAAATTAATTGAAAATCCTTACTTCTAATTTAAAAGCTACCTAGCCCAAAACTAAGCACTGCTGAGTAAACATGCAGTTCTGTGGTAGAGCTGATCTTGTATTCTTTGTTACATATATGCAAAAGATCTATAGGGAAGAAGTGGTGGAGGTATGTTGAGTTGATTCTGGAGGTGAAAAGCATAAGCCTGCCTTCTGGTCCTTCAAACTCTGAAATGTCAACTGAAGGGAAAAAAGAAAAAAAAAAAAAGAAAAGAAAGCCAGAAGCAATCTGGAATTTTTTTTGATGTTATTTATGGCTCATTGTGTTTCTAGCAAATCAAAACCACGGTTCATTTACTATTGCCCCCCATGCTCGAAATCAACAAAAATGCATTCCGAAGTGTGCAGCAGTACTTAAGGATCTAAAGAACTAACCTGGGCTTCAGAGCCCGCCTTACTGCCTGCCATGCAGCCTTTGCCCCTCGTCTGAAAAGTGGCTGCCTCTCTCCTTCATTATAGCCGGGCGTGCAGAGCCGCCCGTGTAAGCCAGGTCTACCTCTGCCCCAAGAGCTCCTTTTGGAGGGTCCCTGGAGGAGACTCGCAGGTCTTCCTCTGGGTCAGGATTCACGTTTTGCCAGCCCAGTTGCAAGTGTGTTTTTAGTAACTACCTCTTAGCAGCACAAGCATTTTCCTTCCATGCCTTTACTACAGGTGCATAGCATGGACAGAAAAACAGCAGCAATACAGACTGTTCCGGAATAATTTCTCCTGACCTGTTCCTTCTAAATGTGGAGGGAGAGGAGAAACAGTCTGGCTGTTACTGATGTCAGTTTGCTTGTTCCCAGCCCTGAGACCACAGGAACCTGTCTCATGTGACTATCTTTTCCTCATTTCTTTTTGGCTTCTTTGGCTCTTGATGCCTTTACACATCTGGACCAAGTGAAATTCTTGCCCTTTGGGTTTCTCAGACTAAAAAAAAAAAAGAAATAGAAGGGAGAAAAGCAGGATTTTCTCTGAATGGTCCCCTTTCTGAAATACACACTTCACAGAAAGTGCCCACCTCTGATTTCCCCAGAGGTAAGGGATGTAAGTAATACATTGCACGCAAGGCTTCAGCTGTTTTCTGGTTTTCAGTTCCTCCATGCCAAAAATTTCCTGCAGGGGTATAACCACGCTCAAGGCTTGCTTTAGTTTGTTCCTTCTGCTAACCGAGGTAGTGGAAGAGTCCTCCTGGTCCTTCTGAGGAAAGGGATAAATGTGAGTTAACGAGCAATGCTTATGATAGACATGACATGGGAGCTGATGCAGTTTGAAACACTTCCTCTCCTTGTGATGTTTGTGACTTTTCTTTTTCTTTAATTTCTTTTATGCTCTGCGTGAGTGGGCAGGTATCTGTAAAGTCAGTTCTCTTCTCTCCTGCAGGGTGGATACGCAGCCTACAGATATGCACAGCCTGCTACTGCAACAGCAGCCACGGCCGCTGCAGCCGCTGCAGCAGCTTACAGCGATGGGTATGTAAGGGGGAGGAGTCCCTGGGGGCTAGCTTGCTGTGCTCAGGGATTCAAGGAGCGTTGATCCTTCACAGCACTTCTGTTTCTTCCCCGTTTCTTTGTCTTACTTGCACTCGCACGAGCACACGTGCATGCGCAACCCAACGTGAACGACTTGAATGCACGGTTTGTCTCTCCACTCCCGGGCGATGTTGCCCTCCGGTGTACGTGAGCCTGGCACGAATCTCAGCCTCTTCCTTATCCTTGTGATCCTCTGCACAAAGGAGGCAGTGTGGTTTCAGCCTTGGCGTCAAAAGACCTGGCTTGCCTTGCCAGCTACTTGCTCTGTGACTCTGGGCAGGTTGTTTAATCACTGGGTGCATTTCTCTCCCTGTCCATGAAGTAAAAATTACTTGGCTCATACAGTACTCTTGGATGCTTTAATGTGCAGCTCTGTGTAGATACAAAGGATTATCAACATCAGAGTGCTTGCCTTAAGATTTTTCATCTCCTGTGCAGTGAGGCCGTGTTTTAATCTGAGTGCATGCGAGACCATTAAAGCTTATTCTCCCTTCTCATTCTGGAGAATCCCTCACTGCTTTCTATTTAGCAGCTATTACCGTGCCAGTAGCGCTAGTGCCGGCAGTCACTCTCCTCCCAAATTGCATCATGCGAGGTAAGGGATGCACTAGCTGTCATTTCCAAGGTGCTCACCTCTTCCCTGCAGGTCGAGCTCATGGCTTCTGCCACGTCCCTCCTTGCAGGCCATTCTCTCGCCCATGTCATACGATGCATGGCAGCATGCCCATAGGATCTCTTGGAAGAGGGGCTGCCTGCATGCATGTGTGTGCATGTATGCATACATGTGTGTGGAAGGGTATGCTGTTTCTTCCATTGCCGGCTGTTTCTCTGCCCCTCCAAAGCGCCTTTTTTTTCCCCCCCTACTCTCTTTTTTGTTACTTATTTTTCTGTCTTTTTTTCCCCTCTCTTCAGTTATGGCAGGGTGTACACAGCAGATCCTTACCACGCCCTTGCCCCTGCCGCTAGCTACGGAGTTGGCGCTGTGGTAAGTGGGATTTTCTTTCTTGTGCTGTTTCGCATTTCCAGCATGGGGAACAGCTGTTCCCTGGGTATCAGGTAACAAAAGCTCACCCAGAAAATGTTCTTTTGTTGGGGTAGAAGATCCTTAGCTGCAGTGCTGGGTTCCCAGTTGTTCTGCATTCATATATGTTTGCATGTGTGCACTAGGAAAGGAGTCAGTCAGGTTGTAGACCACTTGTTACTTGGTCTTGCACATCTCCTGGTACAAAGGAGATGGTAGAAGAATGATCAGAAATGCCAGGAGCCAGAACATGTTGATTAATCAGTAAAACTATATCAAGGTAGATACATAGAGCAAAAATCAGCAACAGTTAGAGATGTGAGACAGCCTTTCTTGCCATTTTCGTTAACTTCAAAGGCTCATGTGGCGAGATGATAGATCAGTTCTAGAAAGCAAGGGAATAGGTTGTTCTCTTGACATCTTGCAGCAAAGCTGCTCCACTTGGTTCCTTCTTCCACTAGTGGAAGGATGCCGTGTCCTGCCTGCCAGCAATAGTTATGCAAGGGCAGGAATGAGGTAAGCTGGCATCAGAGGGGAGTGGAGCAGCTTTCTGAAAGCACATGCTTGCCCATCTGCCAGCCAGCGCAGTATCTGTGTTGTTGCAGAGGCTGGAATACAAATGTGCTCAGAGAAAAAGACACCTAAATATAGACATCTGCAGTGTAGCACCTCCGTTTGAGCCTCAGCTCATCATGGGGATTCTCTTTAGGGTCGATGAAGGAAAGGCAGGCACTTCTAGGATACCAGGTCATCACGTGTATTTTAGGCTTTTACCTTAAGGCATGACAAAGAGCATCCTAGAAGTCCTGATCTCGGCTGTCTATAAAGACAGCCTAGACAACTGGCTCAGAGACTAGGGCTCATGAGTCCCCTCTCTGGTACTGAAATCCCTCCAACCGAGACTTGCCAAACTTCACCTCCAGCTGGCTGGCCATGAATGTGTCCTCCTGAGCCATGTCTTTGGTTTTGCAGGCGAGGTTCTTGCTTCTTAGAGGTGCTGATGGTGATGGGTCAGTGCCGGGACATGTCCATTAGTCCTCCTGAGAGCGTTCGGGTGCTGTCCTGAGTGTTTCTTTACAGGTCCCCTCCTAACAGCTACTTCTTCTCTCATTTAATTTCTACAGGCAAGTTTATACCGAGGTGGCTACAGCCGATTTGCCCCCTACTGAAGTGACGTGAGCCCCCTGCAAGTGGGACAGCCCCCCCAGTTCATGAGGCCTGGCTATTGCAATATTTACTAGTAGAGGAACTCTATAGCAAGATGAGGAGGAAAAACAAAAAAAAAAAAAACAAAAGAGAAAATACTTTTTTATACCTCACTATGTTCTTTGAATATGTATTTTTTTTCCTTTAAATTTCTGCCTTTAATTCTTTTGTTCCAAAGATTGTGCATTTTTTTTTTTGGGTTTATTTTGTTTGTTTTCATTTTGGGTTTTTTTTTAACTGTGGTAAAAATAATGCATTTCCGTGTCTGTATGTTGGTGCATAGCTTATCCTACCAATCACGGAAAAGGCAATTAGCTATAAGGAAAGCTGTTAAGAAAATGATATCATGCAGTTAATCAGGAACACGCAGACAGAGTTACTTCCCTGGGTCTGGTGCTTGGTGCCCGTGAGACAGGAGGACGTGAGGGAGAAGTCTCCACCTGCTATGTTTCTGGTCTGCAGAAGGAAGCGCTCTTTGGCTGTGGCTGGGACCTAAATGCTGGTGGGAAATAGCCATTCACATTTGGAAAAGGAGGAAACGCAGAGACTTTCCTCGTCTTTGTCACCATCTGACATGCACAGATTTGGGACAGTCTCAGCAGTGTCAGGATTTTAAACTTGACAAGAGAAGATATCCTCAACCTGCCCAAAGACTTTGGCTGTTATCTGCTGTATAGGGGACAATACTTTGAAAGGAGCTTTTGTTGAGGGTGATCTTTCCCCCACACAACTTATCCTAGCTGATTGTCGTCCATTGCTGGTGGCTGTAATTACCTTAGTTTTCCTTCCTTCTATTCAAGATCTTTCTTCCTTGCTGTCCCTTTCCTCTCCTTCTTTCCTCGAGGAGTGGCAGATGCAACGCAGCATCACTCAGAGTACCTCTGCTGTGGACAGCAAGCGGTTAAACTTGCGGAGGTGACATGCACGTGGCCTCATGGAGAAAGAAAGGTGGCAGAAGAATCGTCCATCTGAGGTCCAGCACGCAAGGTCTCTCTTCCTGTTCATCCTGAGCTGATTAGGTGCTTCTGCAAGTGATCTGTTTCAAATAAGATGAGTGAGGAAAAACAAGTCATGTATAGGCTGCTTGAGGCGAGGGGCAAGCACGTGGGTTTGTGTGGGGCAAGAGGGTCTTTTGTATCTAAACGTGATCCTGAAGTAGTTTTGTTTCTGTCAGGAGTTTTAAGAGGAGGCAGAAGCAGTCTGCGCAAGCTCTGAATTCATAGGAACTTCCCACCACAAGCTATTTCAGGCACTTGCACAGTTGCATTGGAGCCCCTGCATCTGCTTTGCCCAGTCCCTCGTAGAAAGTTGTGCACCTGGTCTGCTGAGTCCATATAGACACTACATGTTAGAAGATTTGGAAGCAGAGAGACTGTCTAGGGTAGAGCTCCACAACTCCCAAGGCCATCTCCCTTCTGTTTTCTCCTACAGTGATTTCACTGTTTCGAAGTCAGTGTTTTTAGGTGATCGTGTGAGCTGTGCTGTTATGGGGAGTTGCTGCTCTCTAGACCTCCCCTCTGAGATGCTGCCTCCTACAGCGCTCCCAGTCACTCCAGTGGTCAAAGGCAGGGTCTTCTGACCACTTGGTAGAGAAATACAGGAGCGAGGTTTTATTAGGCTACCTTGACTCCCTCAATTTAGTACAGGGGTGAGCTCACCTGCCCCCAGAAGGGCTGCTTGGAGCGTGGGTTTGTTGGTGGAGCCTCTCCAATTCCTGTCATGCACCTGCTTCTCCATCCACCGCTGATACCAGAATAGGAAACTTCCTGCATTTAACTCTAACCGATGTCAACAAGCAGAGCTCTTAGGCAGGTGTCCTGGCCCAGCAACGCACAACCATGCAGTTTTTTTGCTCTTCCCCCAGGGATACACGTAGCCTCTCTGTGCACGGCAGAGAGGAGGCACCTCAGATGGGAAGAATGGGGAAGCCGGTGGGGAAGCTAGAGACCCTGAAGCTATTGATTCTCTGGAGGAGTAGCTAGATAAAGGGGACACCAAACTGCCAGCCTGTTGGCCACCTTTTATTTTTGTTTTTCTGGTTTTATTGTTGGTTTTTAACTTTTTTTTTTTCCAAGCCAAAGTTTGGTTTGTTGCTGTTATGACAATTTTTTTGTTGTTTGTATATAAATATTTTAGTTAGCTTGAAAATGGGGAGGGGAGAACAGGGTGTTGGGGCTTTCACAAAATCTAGGAAATGAGGGGCACTCGGGGCATTTGAGGGCTTTTCCTGCCTGAATTGGGGTAGGGGAGGGAGGGCATATGGTAGAAATAGTCATTTTCAAGGGGAGCCATGTCCACCACAGGGCAGCCAGGGGACTCTTGGAGCTGTCATGCAGCAAAAGCCTCTGCTGGACTTGTTCTACCTGCCTGTGGGCCGAGGGGCCGAGTGAGGCCATCCTGTCCCTTGCCCGCAGGCAGCTCCTCCTGCAGCGGGTCTGTGGGCTGCGAGCCAGAGGAGCGCAGCTTGCAGAGCCTGGCAGGGGCAGCTGCTGGCCCCTCTGCCCCTTTCCTACAGTTTCAGTTCAGCTGGTTCTGACTGCAGCTCTTAAAAAGCTGAGTTCTTCCTCCCCGAGTGCCCTCCCCTGCCCTGGCAGTTGCCGCCCGCAATCCCCACCCCGCCCCCTCGCCACTTGGCCTCTCCGGGAACAGGGAGGCCAGCCCCATTTCTGCCTCCGAGCAGAGTCTATGCACGGCAGCTTCAGCACGCCCGAGTGAATTAGGAACGTGAGGGGTTTAGTGCAGAAGCGCCCAGTCTTTGCGGGGCCGTGGTCCCCTGCCGTATGATCTCCGAGTAATACCTGCTCTAGACCATCCAGCCTGATTTCCTCCTGTTTTTCTGAGCCTGGTGCTCCGGTCCAGTCGCTCCCTGCTAAGGCTTCTCTGCGGTGTGTTAAGCAGCCACTGTCTCCTCAGCTCCATAGTTAATGCTGTGAGAATCCCCACCGAGGCAGCTCACCGATAGTCCAGCTTCCTGCTCTCAGCACTCAGCTGCAGAGTAGATGCCGGGACGCTTGCTCGGCTTGAGGCCGGAGGTAGCTTGCTGGTTCTGGGTCTCTGGAGCACCAGACCTCCCAAAAACTTGCACGCCAGCTGAAATTTTGCAACGAGGTTTTCTCAAGTGAGTGTTGTGCCATGGCAGGAGGGCTCTTCAGCTGTTCTTCACTCTTGGCAAACGACAGCTCTGGTTTTGCTCAGATGTGTCATGAACTGGCTTGAGATGAATTCAGAGTAGCCAAGACGTGGCTATATCCATCTTCAGAAGAAGTGAGGACAAAGCCTATATCTCCCTATGCAAAATGAATTACACTTAATGAATTAAACTGGGCCCTTGCTTATTTGACCAATGGCAGCTAGTGCTTGTCCCCGAGGTGGGTCTGCAGTCACAGGTCCTTCGCAAAGCAGGGCTTGGCTTTCCAAGGGAAGCTGCACAGGCAGCCTGTCAAATAGCTTGCTGTTCGTCACCTTCTAGTCTGGTGGCATCTGGGATTCCTCTCGATGTAGAGGAAAATATGTTTCTTTTAAGTGTTGCTGTCTGTACTGTCTTGCAATAGGTCTGGCCAGCACACGATGCTATACTGTTAAAATTTTGAATTGAAGAGTTGATTTATTTAATGTGCTGGTCTGTCTGTGGGTACAGTTGTGCTGATACAAAGATGACTTCTACTGGCATAGCATATTCTCTCCAGGGAATAAGTTAATATTGATGCCCAGCACATTATCAAACTGTCGTCACTGTCCCCGTGTTAGGGAGGCTGCACTGTGGTGAGTGGGTTAGCTTTTCTAAGAAAAGCCATGACAGGACCTGGAGATGACAAGGAGGTCAGTAGGAGCCTGCTGTGGCTGGCGTTTCCCAGGTTAAGCAGTTATGTGGATCCCGCATCATGAATTCAGATAGACAAAGCTATGTTTTTAAATAGCTATGGCTTGGCTGTTTCGGTGCCCGAGAGAGAACAGACTTGCCCAGCAACAAAGAGCACTGGCTCCACAGTCCGAGACCTGTGTTTTGGGCAGGGCTCTGTCAGTGATCCTCGATGGTCATCATGGAGCAGTGGGGTCGCTTAATCTAGATTTCGCTTCCCCGTCCCTAAAGCGAAGTGAATGTTTATCCCTTGTTCTCGCCTGTTTTAAGATCTGTGGACTTGAAGTGCGCAGCAAGGGCTGAGGAGGGTTACCTGAATAGCTGGCTCAAGTGCGAATTGTGAAACGGTTAATTAAACCAGTTCCTTGCCCGAGAAGATACACTGGCTGCTGGGGTTTCAATTTGAGCACCCAGAGCTTCAGCAGCAGGGAATTACAAAGCAGAGCCTCCCAGTTCCTACCCACGTTTTTCCCTAACCCCATCCCTGTCTGTATCTTCCCAGCCCAGCCCAGAAGGAGGCAAATGGGGAACAGGTTTGGGGAGCGCTTAGGAATTCAATAAAAGGGAAACCCAAACAACAGCTCTGGGCAGTGCTTTTGCTGAGTCTAGCTCCAAAGGGAAAGCCTGTGGGCAGCCTGGCCGATGGCCTGCTGCCCCCCCTGACCCTCCAGCCTGACAGGGCCGGAGGAATGCTGCCTGTGGTGCAGGGGGGTGATTTATTTTTTTTTTAAAGTGCGTTACCTGTTTGCACTGTTTTAAAATAGGAAGGGGGGGAGGGGGGAAAGGCAGCAAAACAAAACCCAACCTAGTGAACATGATGAACATCCTATGTAAACTTCTTTGTGTTTTTATTTTGTCATGCTCTTGGAAAATGTCGAACATTTTGTAGTATACACCAGTGAGACTTGATTCTTTGTTGCATAAAACACTATTTTTTGGTGATGTTAATGTCTGAAAAGCCCCTTCCCTGCACCCCACCTTACTGATTGCCCTCTCAGCCCTCCAACCCTGGTAAACTTCTCATCTGCAATGAAAACTCCAGTCAACAAGGCAAGCAGGAGTCTTGAGAGCCAAAGAGTGAAATGGGGCCCTTTTCAAGTAGGCTCTGAGGTTTCTCCCCAGTACACTTTGCTCTAGCCAGGAGTTGGCAGGATAACCCCCGTCCCTCTGCGGTGCGTGCGTCGATGGCAGCTTAAACATGGCTTTGGGATGTCCCAAGTCCCGTCTCCGTTGCCACCACTAACCCTGGAAGGCAACGTCATGCCGGTGATTGTCCCCTCTGGGCAACAGCAGGGGCTGCAGCCGATCTGGGTTT